AAGATTGAAATTTGGTCCCTGATTTTTGAATTTGAAACTTTAAACACCTGCCTCCATGTAATTTCCTCTTTAATCAAGCAACCTATTTTTGGGCCTCAGGTTAGATCCGGCCATTTGCCTCCTATATATTTGTGAATCAATTTCCAATCAAAGTATGAATTATTCTAACTTTAGCCAAACCCTTGCACTCATTATATCTCGTTCAGTTATTGATTTGATTGTTAGAGTGCAAACGATCGTCTGACATGCAAGGTCGACGATCTTTGCCTCATAACGAGGTGTTCGAGTGCACAAGTGACGTCTACGCGGAAGAAAGGTGACCAGAATTCTGTTAACACCTTTGTTCAGGTCAACAAACATATAACATATTGTGTAAGAATTATCAGACGCTACACTGAATAAAATTTTAATTTATTCCATCCGGCTGCTATCGTAAATCAAAACTTTCACGTGTTTTTTGAGGGACGTCCTTGTATATGACGCTCTCCCCCTTGTTCTCTTTTGTACTTCATGTTTGAGCCCTATTTGTTGATGAAAATGTATTTTGATAGAGAACGTGTGATTAAAAAGTAAAGAAAATTTTTGAATTTGCGTGTAATATTATTTTATTGAATAATGTGTAGTTAAAAATAAGAGAGAAAAATGTATTTTAAAAATAATAAGTACCAAACAAGAAATTAAACTCTTATTTTTTTGTTTTGTAGTCCACCTTTTCTGTTGAATTCCTATGCCTTTAATCATCTCGGTTAGAGAGTAAAAGCATACGACTTTTGTCTTTTATTCATTATGCATAGTTATTGTAGCAATCATTATCATAAATATTCCATTCTTTCTCTAATTATTCATTCTGTCCTTTTAACGATTTGCATCAGCATTGCTGTTATTACCCCAGAAATCGCTTCATTTTGTGATCTTCGTTGCTTCAGATGGGTTCAGTTAAACAATCTGGTGCCATCCCGAGTAAAACTAGATTGGCACGTACTTACGCGAAGGTTTTGCACATTCAAGCTTTGACCGGGATAGCTCCGGATGGTGGAATCCGAAAGATTGAAAAGAAAACGAAAGATCACTTGAAGAGTTCCCGCGCTCCGTCCTCTAGTGAAGAAGATGAATGGGTTCGGGTTAAAGAAACTTTTCTTGCTAAGCTGTTCGCTGGAATATCAGCTGTTAAAGCTGCATATGCAGAATTGCAATTTGCTCAATCTCCTTATGATGCTGATGGGATTCAATCTGCAGATCAAATGTTAGTGTTGGAACTAAAGAAATTGTCTGAATTGAAGAAATGTTACTTGAAGAAACAATTGGACACGACATTCCCTGAGAAGACTCTCGTTTTAGCTGAAATTCAGGAGCAGAAGAGTCTACTACAAACATATGAAATTTTGAATAATAAGTTGGATTCTCAGCTTAAACTTAAAGAATCTGAAATAACCTTTCTTGAAGAGAAATTGACTGAAGTCGACACGGATAATAAGTTACTCGAGAAGAGATTAAATTCAAGTGGAGAATTAGGTATGCCTGTGGTTATTCATTTCTCAGGCTCAAGTCCCAACCACTTTATTACATGTTTTAGACAGACAGTAAAATCAATTCGCAGATTTGTCAGGTTGCTGATTGTCGAAATGGAGTCTGCAGGGTGGGATTTGGTGGGTGCAGCCAGTTCAATTGAACCCGGGGTCGTTTTCTGGAAACAAAATCACAGGTGTTTTGCATTTGAATCCTTTGTCTGCAAAGAAATATTTGACGGTTTCAGTTACCCGAACTTCTCGATCCAAAAGGAGTCCTTGCCGGAGCAGAAGGAAAAACGAAGGCTATTTTTCGACAGATTCATGGAGTTGAAATCTGTTCAACCAGCGGATTATCTAGCCTGGAAGCCTAAATCTGCGTTTGCAATGTTTTGCCGCTCTAAATACTTGAGACTTGTTCATCCAAAGATGGAAGCATCCCTATTTGACAATCTCGATCAGAGGGCCTTGGTGAATTCGGGCGAATGCCTGAAGACATCCTTCTTCTTGGCATTCGCTGAGATGGCTAAGTGCGTTTGGCTACTACACTGCCTGGCCTTATATTCCGACTATGAGGTCTCTATCTTTCAAGTGACCAAGGGAGCTCGTTTTTCTGAAGTTTACATGGATAGCTTAAGCAACGAAGCATTCTTGTTGTCTGATGGCACACCAGAAACTGATCCTCGTGTGGCTTTCACAGTGGTTCCTGGGTTCATAATAGGTAAGACCGTCATTCAATGTCAGGTGTATCTAATGAATCCAACTTGCAAGTGAAGGGCATGTCAAAGACAATTTAAGTAAATAAGTTAAATCCCAGCTTTTAATTGAGTCGATTCAAAAATATCTCTGTTGATCATGAACTCAAGATTTGTCGACGTGAAGTGCACAGTAATTAAGCCTAAATCTTGGCCTACAACATCAATGATGGCACCGTATTCACCTTTCATTTATAGAGAAAATTGGCCATGGCTTGCCTGGTAGCTGCCTAGCTGGTTATGCCTTCCAAGATATTCTCACTTTTGTTAAACATCCAGCGAGTGTTGAAGGATAGATAGTAATTGTACATTGTAGCACTTCACAATACATATTCGTTGTTTTTATATTCAGCTATATTATAAGAAGTGTTTTGTACCTACCAGTATGTGCTGCAAAATTGGATCTTTAGCTTTGATAATCACAATCATCCTGAATTAACAACAAAATTTGAAGTAAGAAAATTGTTTTTAGCTTAAAGAAATTGTATGGGATTAATTATACCAATCTCCACTAAAGTTTCAAGTAATTAAGCCAATGGTCAGTGAAGTAATTTTCGTAAGATGATGGTCACTAACTTTAACCCTAATGGTCATTCCGTCAAAAAAAAATTTAAAAAGATAGCATTAAATCGTATATGAGATCACTAAGTGACCATAAAATATTCTGCATGTAAATCCAAAACCTTTTCCTACTTTTTAACTACGCATCCTCTTAAAAATTTATTATTCTAAAATCTATTAATCCCAAAAATGGGGCTCAAACAAGGGCTTAATGTGAATTTTTTGACCAAGTGACCATTAGTATAACAAATAGAAACTTGAATAACTATTACCGTAAGAAAATAACTCCGATGACCATTGACATGATTAACTCAATTATATGTGATTGATTTGTAAGCGACAACATAGTCATTGACTAATTGCGAATGCCAAGAGTAAGGACGTTCTCTCACAAGTGATTTTCCTACAGCCTCTGCGCTTTCTTCTGTTTCCATTGGAAATTAAACTGCTATAAAAACCAAGGAACTTCTTACAGGAAAAAATTGTATGTGATGACAGGAAGAATGATGATTGCAGTCTTTAAAAGGAACCTATGGTAGACCAAAAATGATTCAGTGGGAAATGGGCAATTGCTGTTTACTTGCTTTCTTGATAGAGTAAGCACCTTCCTGTCCCTTAAATGAGTGGCCAAGTCTTTGCGAGCAAAATTTATGAAACTAAAGGAAAGCTAGCGCAATAATAAGACGGAAAAGGAATCACTTATCCAGACCAAAATGCATGAATCTGTAATTCCCCACGATCTTGGTTAAAATATGCCCGGGAGGAAATTTTACTCAAGAAGGTAATAGTACATAATCATGGTTCGCTTTGTGGCTCCAAAAATTCATAGTAAATTATAATTACAACCATATTAACCCAAAGTACCTAACCTGTGAGCAAGAGTACGTATTCGACTAGCATATGTATACATATCTGGGCAGCACCTCTAGTCAAGCAAGAAAACTCCAGCACTAAGAAGTCAATCACATACAGCCATCTCTAACCAACTGAATGAGCCCCAGTGCTTATTAGCAAACTAACGACCTCACTTGCATCATAGTGGTTGTCCTTCTTGCAGACTGGAGAAATAACTAATCTCCATATATCTGAAATGATTGCATTTCTTTTTGCCAAACTATTTAAAACTGTCCATAATATTTCCATTTTATGGTCTCGGACCAATTCACCTATAAATTTGCTTACACTAGAAGAACGAGAGACATATCCTTTAAAAACCATCTCATCTAATATACCCGCCCCTTCCTTTAGATGCATTTGGTCACAAAGCCCATCGACAAGTATCCTGTAAGTTACCACATCTGGGAAGCATTTTCTTCTCGGCATATCTTCCAATAAGTCATGTGCTTCTCTTGCTTTCCCTTCCCTACAGAGCCCACTAATAATAACATTGTAGCTAATCACATCAGGCTTACACCCATTTTTCTCCATCTCATCCAAAATCCCAAAAGCTGAATCAAACTCCTTCTCCTGACAAAACCTACATATTGGAGTGTTATACGTTACTGTATCAAGCTTATACCCAACTTTCTCCTTTTCTCTAACAATTCAGAAACCTCCCCCTTCCGACCGACCATAAAGGATGCACTAATCAAAGTAGAATATATTGCAAGATCGAATTCCACTTCTTTCTCGACATCTCCTCCTTTAGCTTAACAGCCTCGTCCAACTTGTCAACCTTACAAAGCCCTTTGTGGTATAAATGTGCGCATTAGGTTCAATCTTAAAATCCCCCTTCATCTTCTTCTTCAACTGAAAAGCCTTATCCAATTCTAACTACATGCAGTAGCCGTTAATTGAAGTCCCGAATGTCACCACATTTGGTTCCACTCCTCTTTTCAACATTTCATCAAGCATATTAAGTGTTCGGTGCTCCCTCTATATCACCCTTTACACTACACGCATTGATCATTATATTATGCGTACATGCATCTTGGTTCCCGTGTGTTTTAATCTCCATAAACAACTCCCACATTTTCTCAAACTCCCGAAAAACAAGAAGACTATTCAAAACCGTATTCATAGATTTCGTGGTTCTTTGGCATCGAAAAGCTGGAATTTCATCGAACACCTTGAGGGCTCTATGTGGCAAACGAGCTCGACCATAGAACGCGATAACGTTGCAGAGAATGATTTCCTTCCGACTTATTTGGGTGTTAGATTTCAATTTCTCGACGATATTTTCCATTTTAGAGAGCATTCGGGCCCTGCCGAGCTTGGAGATTATAAGGTCGTAGGAAAGGAGAGAGTGCCGGAAGGGTTTTCGTTTTGGGTCGTCGGGATTCGGGTTAAAGAAGAGCTGGAGGACTAGCTTGGGGTCCTTCTGGAGGCGAAGGAGGGAGGAGAGTGAATGGTGAGACTCTTTGAGTTTCTACATTTTTTAGTGCAACGGTCGGCAACGCCAAAGAGATCTCATGGAATTGGCGCCATAGAGATATTTGTACTTCGATAGTTATTTTGTCAAGCTTCTATGGAGCAAATCTTGATATAAAAATAGCTTTTAATAAGTTGAAAATTTCATAAATTGTATGGATTAAAATCCAAATAATCGTGAATCTCGTCATTTGTAAGATAAGAGAATTACTGTTTTTTAATGAACTGTACTGAATTCATGTGAAGTCCAAAGTTTCTAAATTATTTTTAAGCTAAATTGCCTTTGGAGCCTCGAATCTTTGAAAATTGTGATGATGGACCTCAAATCTTCGTTTTCTAACAACCGGATTCCCAAAATCTTCGTAACATCATCTATAGGGAAAGATTCCTTGTGGCCATGTAAACAAGGACTCAATAGATACATATCACTGACAATTAATTGGACAGAGTTCTGGAGATCTTGAAACAATCGAAGACAAACAAGAAATACGTTTGACTTTTGAAAATTTATCGGTGTCAACACCTAGAGGCCCATATGTCATTCAATGCTCCATTCCTTCACGAAAGTCGTGTTCGTAAGAGAGAGAGTGTGGCATTTTATTGAGCTTGAGGGATTTGACGAGAAAGGACTATCACGTTGGCCTTTTATGAGTTACATGTGCATTTTAATTCAAGTGAAAGGACGAAATTAATATCAGTAATGAATGAATACATACGTCATAATTTAATGAACATCAAATAACGTTTTAAAGATCGATTAGTTAGTAGTGACACTAGATAAAGTTCAATGACCAATAATATAATTTACCCTCGATTTGGGTTCCCAAAAATTATATTTAAGTGGTTGTTTGGTGCACATTTTGATTCTAAGAATGCATTTTTTATTTGATATAATGAAGAATATGTGGTTGAAAAAGAAAGAAAAATTATTGATGCGATGAAAAATATTATTTTATTGAATAACGTTTAATTAAAAATGAGTAGAGAATGAAAAAAATAACGGAAAAGTAAATAATAACATATTAAGATATGTATTTTTAAATGATTTAAGTCTTTTATTGTCAATTTAACAAACACAATTATCTATTTTTCCTAAGTAGTGCTATGTGTACACACAATTTTTTTTTTTTAAATGATTTAAGTCTTTTATTGTCAATTTAACAAACACAATTATCTATTTTTCCCGAGTAGTGCTATGTGTACACACAATTTTTTACACAATGTTTTACACCCCCCTCACATGGAGGGAGGCCCACGATTCTTTTATTATGTGTGGACCCCCTCCATGTGAGGGGATGTAAAACATTGTGTAAAAAATTGTGTACACATAGCTTAATTCATTTTTCCCACTTTCTCAAAATTCAATTCAAAACCCCCCACCTCCCTCATTCACAAAATTTGTGCAAAACCCCCGCTCTTTTAACTATCTTCACTCTCATTCTAAAATTCTCCAGTCCAAAACCCTCAGCTGTCTGCAAATCGGAGCTGTCAATTCAGGCTGTTAAGGGAGATATGAAGGAAGAGCAAATAGAAAAGCTGAGAGGGGTGGTGAGGGATTGCGTCGGCAAGCATTTGTACTCATCGGCGATTTTCTTCGCCGACAAGGTGGCAGCCATCACGTCCGACCCGGCCGACATATATATGCAAGCACAGGCACTCTACCTCGGCCGCCACTACCGCCGCGCCTTCCACCTCCTTAATGCCTCCCAAATTGTCCTCCGTGACCTCCGATTCCGCTACCTCGCCGCCAAGTGTCTGGTAAGTTGTTAATTTGCACACTTCTCCACCACGGATACAAATGCACGATGTTATATTTTAATGTTATGCGCCTGTGTAATACCTACTTGGCATTTTTAGATCTGTCTTGGAATTTTGAGCTTCTTCATTTTTTCCTCTCGAGTTTCATTCGTGGTGATGCTCTGAAATGTCGCTGATCAGTTAATCTGGAATTTAATTATTCAAGACACTATGGAGTCTGGAAAGATTTATCGAGGATTTCCTAAACTACTCAAGTCTTAGGATTTTATTTGTGAAGTTGAGAATTTTCAGATTTGGTCTACTTCTTTTTCTGTTTTCATTTTTTTTTTTCAATTCCACCTGAACGTGGTGAGGAAATTTCCATAACAAGAAATTTTGTAAGTTTTTTTTTTTTAAATTCCTTAGGATTAGAATTCCAGCGTGTGTATACTATTCTGAAAATACTTTCCATGACATGTTCTGCCTAAACCTCGACTAACTCAATAGTTCCATCAGTTCCCTGCAGCATGTCAAAATGAAAGTTTGTATATACATGACTGCTCTGATTGTATGATAAATATACAAACTCCTTTGGATACATTTCATCACATGGAAAATTTCATCTATTTATCAGGAAGAACTGAAGGAGTGGGATCAATGCCTTTTAATGCTTGGTCCTGCTAAAGTGGACGAACAAGGTAATATTACCGATACAAAGGATTACGGCAGCATGTATCTGGATAAAGATGGCGAAGATCGTGAAATCAATGTAAGTGTTTTCCTTTTCTTTTTCTCCAGCACACGTGCAGTAACTGCATCCCTGCTTCATTCTTCTCACATTAGAGAAGCATTGACGTGAAATAATTTTTACATCCTGAGATAGATTTTGTCAGCAATATACTTTTTAAGAGGCAAAGCATATGAAGCACTGGAAAATCGTGTACAGGCTCGACTATGGTGCGTGTTTTAGTTTATTATTGTAATTATATTATCTTTATCTATGACTTTCTAGTTTCTGGCCATGATGTAGACCCCATGAATTTTGAAAGTATAGAACATTTCTTCAAGAATATTAAAATCTGATTGATTATATATAGGACATATTTAAAATGATATACAACAATAAAAGTATCACTTTTCCCCAAAATGAACAAAAGTTTTTATTGCAAGTATTTTACCATGCTAGAATAACACTTATACGGGTCATTAAAAATTTGTGTTTCTAATGATGGCATGACATCAAAAACTAAAGATATTTGAAACAGGAGAAGTTAATAAATAGTTTAGCTCTCAAAACTGAATAAGGTCCCAACTGTGTTAACCCTGGTAACTAGTGAATAAAAGTTAAGCACTATGACATTTTTGAATAGAAGGTGATGTAATTAGATGTGAAAGTGTTTCATGGTGTAGGATAAATGTTATGACATATGAAGTTTTTGGTGTTCATTATTCCCATTAACTGTTGAATTGATAAATGACTATATGAGGCGTAATAAGTCGAGGCTATTATGACTTATGAGGCATCTATGTTGGTAGGATATGGTAAACAAGATTCTCTGTGTTTTTCTTGTTACGACTGTGCTATAGAAAGGTCTCTACCGAAATCAATACAATGAACCTTTGTATTCATTAAAAATGGTGGATTTAAAGAATCTCTATTTGTTCTTCGTTTCTTTAGGTATTCCCTCCAGCCTCCATTTTTTGCTTTCTTCTGTTTTTAATCTGTTTTTGTGTTGTTTCCCTTTTGTCTTATTTACATGGACTTATTATATTGTTGCTAAAGTCCAGCGTATTTTAAGTTAAGAATTCGTATCGCGTTGTCTGAATTTTTCATAGAATCACAATAGTTTCTGTATAATTACAACTATTGAATTGGATATTCTAGTTGGCATACATGGAACTTTATTTTTATTTTATCTGATTCTTAATATTTTCCCATCTCTGTTCTACGCCTTTCTTTTATGTTGTTGTCAAGTTGATGTTCATGTTTGGTAGCTGAAAGATATCATCATTCTACCTTTTTCATGAACTTACAGGTACAAAGCTGCCATCAAGGCGGATCCTCTATGTTATGAGGTATGCAAGTTATTCCATCGAGGTGTTTCTCATTAGTATTATTTGGATTGTTTTTGTGAAGTTAATAATAGTTGACATTTATTTTCATTAGTACTGACCTGTTAACTATTTTTGTTTTTGACAATTTATTACATGTTAAAGTTTTTTGTTGCAATGTGACTTTCTCCATTATTATTGTTGTTCTCATTGACCCTAATACCACATTTTCCCCTTCTCATTTCAGGCCTTGGAATGTCTTATAGAGGGTCACATGCTCACCTGTGAAGAAGGTGAGAACTTGTCAAACTTCTTAACTTTGTTTTATATGATTCTTAACCATGGGAAAGTTAAAACACAAGTTAGACATTTAACCGTGTCACGGTTTGTAATATTTGTTAATTCCTACTTTGCAATACATGGATCTTTGGTTGAATACCAGAGCTTTATGTTACTCTGTACAAAATACATCTGAATTTCGCTTTGTATAATTAGATAAAGTTTTATTATAATTAAATTTGCCAATAAATTTCAGAGACAATTCTACTGTCAACATTGCAATTCGGCCCTGAAGATGGTTGGCTCTCTTCATTCTATTCATGTCTGGTAAAGAAAGTAAGTATAGTTTCCAATTCTAGTATACTTCAGATTACAGATTAGTTTCAATTTTGGGAAAATAGCAGTTGCGGTCCCCCCACCCTTTTCTGTGTAACAAGTTGGTCCTCAACCTGTGGCTGGTTTCCATCCACTTGACTGTTAAAAGGGAGGAAGTAGGTGGGGAGCGAAGGATGGTGCTGGGGGAGGAGGTTGGGGGTTGGCAGGGACAGTTTACACTTTACATTTTTAACCCCATATCTTTTCCCTTTCCCATTCCTTTCTATTTATTTTTTCAAGACAGTTAAGTGTTTACCTATAGTATACTTGAAAAAGTTAGACGTGTCTACATGTCGGACATGTGAAAGTCACATACCTTTTTAATGGTCAACTGGATGAAAACTGTCTGTTGGGGACTAACATGCTAGAAAATTGAAAAATGGGGACAAAACTTGCAACAAAAAAAAAAGGTTGGGGTCCTTGGGAGAAACTTGTTTTTCATGAAAAGGTTGGTGACCCTCAGTGCTGTCCCCTTCTAGTATCTAATTGCATTCTATTTACTTCTGATCATTAAGAATGTACTCTTTTCATCCTGTCCAGTACGACAAAGAATATGTTGTAGAAGCAAAGTTCGGAGAACTAGAACAGGAACATACATTGAAGAACAATACTGATCTTTTAGCCTGCAAAGCTGAGTACTACCATCAGTGTGGTGAATACCAGAAATGCTTTGAACTAACGTCAATGTGGGTTGATAATTTTGTTTGAACAGAATGATGCTTTTACTTCTATTCCTTGACCAATGTCACTTGTGTCGGTACACATGATTTAATTCAGATTGCTCGAGAAGGATCCTTTCCACCTAAAATGTACCCTGGTGCATTTAGCAGCAGCTATGGAGCTTGGGCATTCTAACGAGCTCTATCTCATGGCATGTAATTTAGTCAAGGACTATCCTCAAAAGTGAGTATGCATCTATATTTTTGTATTATTTATGTTAGCAACCCTTGTTAATCTTGAGAAATAATATTATGTTTTTCCTTTTCTTATTTTCTAAATTTGCTCTTAGTTTCACTATGGAGTGGAGAGTATGATATAAACTATCAGCACTCTGCCTAAACTATATTGTTAATAGTGGATTGTTGAGGTGACATTTGCATTGTGCAGCTGTGCCCATGGTAAAAAGGCTTTGGCTGAGTCCTACAGGGCAGTAGGTTCTGATTTGACGCAAGCAACCCTGGTAAATAATGCCAAAAGTTAGGTTCAAACCAATTTTTTGCACTTCTGGCAATTGAATTGAGGATATCTAATGTAGTTGACAATAGAACACAAATGCATTATGATCTAATCAAGAGCATGGAACATGGAACTATCCTCTTGATTAGTCATCTAAGCTCAATAATTATTTGAAGCACCAGGCTATTGCAAGGTCTTTGAATTCTTTTGGAAATAAAAAGTGACGTTCATATATAAATTTGTCCAAAAAATCCCATATTGCTCAAAGTTAATCTTCATTCACTGGTGAGCACCTTGTGTCTTGTGAGATATTTGTCGATTGATTGCCACTCCCTTACATATTTCCTGTCGCACTTGTTAAATTTGAGGTTACATGACGTTTTAAATACTAGAAATTTCATATTTCTTAATGTTGAGAAGGATTGGTTTTATAAATATGTGATATGAGATGAAGCTGATTTAGGTCTGTAACTATATTGCATGGATCCAGACATCCAAGAAGGAGCACTGGGTATGTCACATGCCCAAGAAACAGATTCCCAAAGTCCAGTTCTAAGTAAACATGGACTATTGAAGATATGTATATTCTTTTCTAACTCGAACCATTTTGAAGTAGTTGTGTAGTTTCTGTGAGAACATATATGGATATGCTCTCAAAGCAACACTCATGAATATCATGTTTTCAAAATTGATGATCAGCTCAGTTTAAAGTATGTACTAAATGCTAAAGTTTGAATATGTGCTGCATGTATTGATCAACCATAATGTTTCGGATACATATCCCCCTATCCTTGTTCAATTGTCAGAGTATGTGACAGGCATTCTTGGTGTGTTTGGACGTACCATGTGATAGAAGTCTGTAAACTATTGCTGGAAGAAAGACTCTTATGGGGAAAATACCTAGATATTTTACTTGCTGTCTTTCTGGGAGAACTTGCTACTGGTGGCAGTTGTTTGAATCAGGCAACAAAGACATGATTACTTGGCATTTCAATGTTTCTCCTATTAATTATTTATTTCTGATTTACAATTCTGAAACATGTAATTTTTAATGCTTTCAGTTTTGAAAGAACTGCTAAATAGTTCCATCAAAGCCTACACTTTTCATTTCTTGAGAGGTATGTCTTAACGATTCACTATGACATGTTTATCCAGGGCTCTTTCATGGTTTGCTGTGGGTTGCTACTATTACTGCATCAAGAAGTATGATCAATCACGCCGTTATTTCAGGTATTAACCTTTGAGAGAAGGTTGTAAAGGGAGGATTGTAACATATTTATCTTTGAGTGGTGTTCTATACTGGAATTAATCGTTTCTATCAGTTGCTCCTTTATTTGAGGCATTAGCCTTTCAAAGAAGTTTTGAAGGGATTCTACTATATATTTGTCCGTGTGATATTCTACCACCAGAATTTAAATTTTTCCACCTGGGAGGGGGTACCTCCCACCAGAGATTTATGTGTGTATTCATTCCTATAAATTCAACATGCCATTACCTTCTTCTGAATATTAAAATTTGTTCCAGAAAAGCTTAGACGTTGCTAGGTTGAACAGTTTGAATTTTTATTTGTGCTCAAGTTTTAGTATTACGTGAATTATACTTTTGAGAAACTGACATGCAGCCTAACTATTCTGATCCTGGGAAGATAGCACTTTATATAGTTGCAATTCTGGGTCATCCTCCAGGGTAATGTTCGAATATGTGATGCAATTGACATCAGAATATCTTACTTAATGGAGATCTGTGACACAAGTAGAAGTGCACGTTCAGAGAAAATACAATATCTTTGTCAGTAATAATTTAAGAGTCTAAAACAGAGATATAATTGAGCATGTTTGGCTAAGCATAGAAGTTAGTCAAACATAATTTTAAGTAATTTTTTGTTTCAAACATCTTTGGAAAAGTTACTTCCCATATAAAATGAAAAAAGTTACTTATTTTGATAAAGGGATACTTTCTAAAAAAGTAGCTTAATTCCCATTTAGTTTTTGCTGAAAATCAGGATGTCTTGAATTTTTTGAAGATATCATCCTTTTTAGGTGTGATATAACTTGAGCATTTAAAGAACTGGTATCTCTTTCATTGAAGGAATGATTATTGTCCCAACATGGGTTCAGGGCGCCCTGGCGTAACCACATAAAAAATGGACACAGTAATATGCTAATGAAACTGGAATATAGATGTTAATTTTTATTATCCTCGAGATATTTGATTGGTTTTGCAATTTGGATTGATTTGAATCATCAGTTATCTTATTTTGCAGCAAAGCAACAAGTTTGGATGGAACTTTTGCCCCGGCTTGGATTGGTTATGGGAATGCTTATGCTGCTCAAGAAGAAGGGGATCAAGCGATGTCTGCTTATCGTACTGCTTCTCGTTTATTTCCTGGGTAAAATTTTCACTTCAATTCTGCATTGATACGACTGCAGTCTGCCTAGGAGATATATAGTTTTATTTGGGATAACAAGGTTTAGTTGTTCTCTACATGCACTTTCCCAATAAATTCTGAAGGTTGTACACATAGTTCTCGTCTGTATTACAATGGATAAGTTATGCCTACTCAGTTCTACATAACGAGGTGGTTGTGAACAGAATATGCAAGGAAGGTTAATGATATCCTACCTAGGATTTTTTGGATGACTTTGAGGTTCAGATTGTTAGATAGTGAATCATAATTGATTCAATTCTATGGACAAAGGAAAGATAATAAACATCTTCATTGAAACTATATGGTTATTAATAGCATAATTGAAGTTGTAAATCTTTAGCAATGATTGAAACTAGCATTGTATGGTTATAGAGTTGCGATCTTATGTTGGATTTAGATCTGTTTGACGTTTTTGTATTTTAGGATGAAATTCCAGATCTAAACCTCAACTGTTATGCGCCTAAGTTATTCTTAAATTTATTAAATGTAGTTATAAAATCCTAAATTGCTAAATTCTTATTACTTGTGAGGGATAAATTTCCTTTTACTAGTTTGATTATTGATATTCTCTTATTCCAGATGCCATTTGCCTACTCTTTACATTGGGATGGAATACATGCGAACCCATAGCTTCAAACTTGCTGAGCAGGTAATGTATCACTTTCTGAAAATTGGATTTCACTGTCAAGGTTCTGATTTTGACTTTATCTGTCAACTTGTGGAAATTATTTAAATCTCTTTGTTCCCTGTGTTACTCACGTATCTGTATTTTTTTTCCTCTGATTTACAAATTAGTTCTATCTTCAATAGTTTTAAATAGATTCTACTTTCAGTTTTTTTTGCAGGCAAAAACTATATGTCCTTCAGACCCACTTGTATATAATGAACTTGGAACTGTGGCTTATCACATGAAGGAGTAAGATTTTCACCTTTCATGAAATATGTAGACTATTGGTTCATTTCCTGTACGGATAAGTTTGTTTTCTCTTACACTTTTGACTGTACAAAGAATCAAAAGATCCATGATTTGCTTGTTTCCTAAGGAGTCAGATTCTGATTATGCAGTCTTTATATGATAATATATGATAGCTTATGCTAGTTTACACTTGTTGATTTTCAATTTTAAGGTTTTAATACTGGTTAAAGTTAGAGCTTGTATTTCTGTAATATGTGAAAGCTTCAGAGCTAATATTCTCTGAAAAGTTTTAGTTATGTTTGGTTGAATTAACTTTGTTTCATTTACAAATTTCACTTGCTTCTTGAACATTTTGACCCTCGGGAAGCATTAGTGGATATAGCAAGTGTCCGGGGAGACAGTTTGGACGTGTCCACTAATGTTTCATACCAGTTCGTCCAACCAACTATACTTGATATAAATCTGTTTACAGCAATTCGTGACAACTAGAAATCTATAAAATTTTCTGTGATTATGGGTTCTCTTTTCTAACATGTGGTAGTTCACCAGTACTTAGGGGTCATCTGACCACGGAGCATCACGTTGACTCTGAAGCAGCTGCATTCCAAATGGCATTTTGTAGTCGTGATTTGGAGCCTTTCCACTTTCCAGAGATATTAAACTAACAAAATAAGAAGAATATGGAAGAAATTAATCTCATGTTCAATGGCCATTATAAAGAGAAATTGGGGGAAAATGATGTTTTGAATAGTGATTTTTTTGGAAAATGTGTGGTTAAAAAGTAGGAAAGATTTTGGGTTTATGTGCAAAATGTTTTATTATTTAAACATGTGGTTGAAAATAAGCGAGAAATAAAGAGTTTTCATTTAAAGAGAGTCAAACAGGGGCTAAGGCTTGAATATAGTTGTGTAGGTCTAGCTCTTTCTATCTTTAGTAACAGATGAATTCAACGAATACGTGTGGGAACAACATTGTTAAGTTCTTGAGATGTAGCGTGTAAATTTTTTTACTGATGCAGGTTTAGATGGAAGATTCCTTGAAACACCCAGTTGCCTTTTGAGTCAGTTTCATTTGAAAGGGTCTTTACTTTGCCTATATGAGAAATGGAGAAAAAAAAATGACTTTTTTTTGGGGTATTGTATACATCCTAATTACATGTTTCTGACAACTTCTGATGTTTTTTGCAATTATATATTGCTATACTAGTAACACAATGTATATATTCCTATTCACGTGATCCTATTTGGTAAACTATGTATTTTTATACATATTTTTGAAGCTATTAAAATCAGCATGATTGTTTTCTTAAAATCTTTCAGGTACAAGGAAGCTGTACGGTGGTTCGAGAAGACATTGGCTCGCATACCATCCTCTGTAAGTGAGATGTGGGAGCCAACTGTAGTCAATCTTGCTCATGCATTGAGGAAATTAAAGTATGTATATTCTTTTTATGCTTCCACCAACTGTTCTCAATTTTAGCTATGTGTAAACTCAAGGATGTGAAATGGGTTCCTCGATTTTTTCTTTCTCAACCAGTGGTGCATTGAGTCAGAACTGCTCTTAGGGCGTGTTCGGTAGAGATTAAAATCGGATTAAAATTGAAAAATTAGCCGTTATTTTTTACTTTTATTAGATGAGTGGGATCCAATAACGACTATATTTTCAATTTTAATTGGATTTTAAGCCCTACCAAACATGCTCTTAGTTGGGTAAACTGCAAGTAGTTAATGCTCAGATGACTGACTCATTTTTTGATGGATGGCATTAATTAGAATATATGGCGTGTTCGGTAGAGATTAAAATCAGATTATTGAAAAACTAATCATTATTGTTGACTTTTATTAGACGAGTGAGACCCAATAACGACTATATTTTCAATTTTAATTGGATTTTAAGCCCTACCAAACATGCTCTTAGTTGGGTAAACTGCAAGTAGTTAATGCTCAGATGACTGACTCATTTTTTGATGGATGGCATATTTATACTAAATTTTACAAAACCAAAAACTATTACAGGTTTCACAACCTTGAAGGCATAATGACCTGTTTAGATTGAATGCATTACAGTAACAAAAACAACTACAGGTTGAGGGAAAAAAATTGTTTTTTGGTTTCCATTTAAACATTGATTTTTGATTAGCTGGAAATACTAATAAGTTGGTCTCCTTGGATGGATGGATGGATTGATGGAGTCCATTTGATGTATTAGTGTCGTGATGAACTTCTAATTTCTATTGTTCCATTAGCATGTGACTCACTAGTAAGTTTGCTTCAGGGTGAAAGTGCAGTGTAACCATAAGATCAAGTCTATCATTATGTACTTTTTCTTGTTATGGAGATGCCAGAACTGTACGTGACTTATAATTTCTAGCTCTCAAAAAGATATAGAATTGGAATATATAGTGTGTTATTAACATTTCTTATTTTTTGTTGTCATAGTTCTAATTTACATGTGTTATTAGATTCAAATTAGAAAGTTACATGTTCTGCGGTTAATATCAATTGACTACTTAATATCAGGAGGTACAATGAGGCAATTGTATACTATGAGAAAGCTCTTTCTTTATCAACAAGAAGTTCGAGTACTTACGCAGGACTTGCATACACATATCATTTGCAGGTGGTTATTTGTGAAATATTTTTAGTAGAGTACGATTATCTGCAAATCAATGATGAGAATCTTCCATTATAAAACTTTGTTTTTGCAGGATAACTTCACTTCAGCAATTACATATTATCACAAAGTAAGATATTGGTAAAATTATCTAGAGCTAGCTCACTAGATTTTAGACATTGTGTTATTATTTACAATGTTTTGCGGTTTACCAAGTTTTTTTTTCTGATTAACACATTACAACACATGAAAATTATATATTTTTTTGATTATTTTCGACCCTATATTCGCATTGATTCTATTCGTTTTAACAGGCTTTATGGCTCAAACCAGATGAACAGTTTTGTACTGAGATGTTGAATTTAGCGCTTGTAGGTGAATGCCACCATGGCGCTGACATCGAGCGTGAATCTCGTCAAAGATAAAGTATGTTTTGCTTAGAATTTCAACGTGACACAGCATCACCTACCCAAAGTTGCTTTCAAAAATCCCATTGCCATTTACTCTCTGAATATTTATTAATATTCCGAAGTTTGTCAGAATTCTACCAAATGACCCGATTGTCCATTTGGCCAGTCCAATTTCAGAGTTTCTTTTGGTCGAACTCACTAACTAGTGACTATTTTGTAGGTCTTTAACAATTTCAGGTTTGATTCGCAACATCTTTACAAGATTTGGAAGTCAGTTACATTGATCTTTACAAGATTTCAGGTTTCAATAACCTGACTTTGCCACTTTGAGCTACATCTGGCATATTGTAAAGAATTTAGGAATAGGCAATGTTGTTGGTTATTTAGTATAGATATAATTATGAGTCACGTTCCTGGCTTTCGACCCTTTTTTTTCTTTCAATCATGGCAGCAAGACATGTTTCTTGTCTAATCAAAAGCTCAACAGTACAAGGAAGATTGGTATGCCAATTTGGTTTGGTTTCGAAAAGCCCATTCTAACACATTACGGGTGAAGCCATGAAAAGCTCTTCAAGCTATTTTTCCTTCCTTGTATCATTAGCCAAACTAAAATTCCCCATTCCCAGCCTTAGTTGTGTCGATGGTAACGCGTGTCTGATCAAACATTTAGTGAACTTGCAAATTATGCTGAAACAATGATGGTTGAGATTTGGGATAGACAGATTCCTAAATATTTAACTTTATAATATTGAGAGTTTCGATTATTTTTGCTCAGGTATAATGGCTTAGGTCGAAATTTACATCTACTCTGTTGCAACGGTGCATATGCATAATAATTTATACAGTTAGAGAAATGTGAGTATCAGTGAAATTTAGAGTAGATATAAAGTTATGGTCCTAAATATTGGGTGTGGACTTGCTGGTATTTCTAGGTTTCTGAAGTTATTGTGCATCGTGAATTTTGTACTGCCTGCAATGCAATACCCCTTTGGAAATCTACCCAAATGGCATTTCTTCCCTGTAGCAAAGGTCAGAATGTACGTAAATGCCTCAGAACAGTAGTTTTAGCACCATACAACGCAAAAATTTTGGTTACCCATGATGTCAACTGTGAGAAAAGATTTAACGGCCTTAAATCAGAGAGGATTTTTCGTGTCTAAAATAAACTCAAGTGGTCAGTGAAACAAAATGATGGTCCTCTTCGATAACGTCATCTTTTATATACCAAACTTGCTTTGATGCATCTAGAGTTGGCAATGGCCTGGCTCGTATGCACACGAGCTCGGCTCATTACTCTTGGCCTATGAGCTCGTGGGTTAAGTCGAGTTTCAATTCGTGAATTCGTCAATTTTTTTTTTTAGGATAAACTTTTAAAAAAAAAAAAAAATTAACCCTTCGCTTTGGATGAGTTGCACACGGGCCGACTTTTCAAGAGCTGAATCGACGAGCCACTCGGCCCGTTTGTCATCACTAGATGCATTTGATTTGTTTAGAAGTGTACGAAATGGATCAAAATATAATTTGAGAACAATACACTTCTAAGGTGTTTACTTTACGTCTTTTCAAAAATACAAAAGCAAGTTCCAATTTTCAAAAATTAGATTTTTTAAATTTTATTTATGAAATAAATTATTAAATCAATTTATTATTAAATATTTAATTGTAATATAATATAATTAACTCATCCCACCTCCACCACACCTACTATTCCGGCGGTCGTTTCGGCGATCACTCTTCTCCGGCGACTATTCCGGTGACTGTTCCGATGGTCACTCTTCTCCGATGACCGTTTCGATTCCGACAATTATTTCGATGACCGTTCCAGCTTTGAAATTCGGTCATAGGTTTACAATTTAGTTAGTCACATATTAATTGTCGGTCACAAATTAGAATTTTCATGTCAAATTATTTTACGATCCAATTTCAAAAATTTTGTAAGTCACAATTTGTTCGTCGGTCACAAATTGATATGTCAAATTTTTTTTGGTCACAAATCACAAATTTTATAGGTCGCGATTTTTTTATCAGTCACAGGTCAAGAATTTTGTAGGCCACGAATTATTTCAAGGTCACAAATCAAGAGTTTTATAGGTCGCATATTATTTTATTGGTCACGGATTCAAATATTACAGGTCACGATTAGATTTTTGGTGACCACCAACGACTTTTGTGATCACCCACAAGACCACCAGTGACTTCTGTGACCAAGTGACCATCATCGTCGTTGTCGCCAGAACCAATAGCACCACCACTACGACCACCATCGACTTCTGTGACCACCACTGCCACCAGCCGAACCACCCAAATCATTCACGGCCAGATCGTAACTACTGTAGATCGCCACCAAATTTACCAACAACGCCGGATCCACAGCAAAACCACCTCACCACCGCCAACAAAAAAAACCTCAAAAACCACCTCCACCACCAACCACCAAACCACATATCCACAATCACCAATGCCGCACAATCACCAACCACGACATCACAGATCTAGAATCAATGTAAAACCCCAAAACACGGATCAATAACAAAATTGTCGCCAGATCCGCCACCAACATCCGCCATTAGCAAACTAAAAAAAAAATTACAGATCTTGGGAAACCAGTCCCTAGATTTGCCAACAACATCCGCCACATCGCGATACAAAGAGAGGAAACCAGTTCGGAGAGAAGACAGAACGCACAGTCGCCGTCGCCACTTCGAGGTTTGACAAGTGAGACACGGTGAGCGCCGAGGTGCCGACGGATGGTGGGGGACCTTACAAGCTACAGTGGCCGGTGAGAAGAGTGGAGAAGACGGATGAGAAGGAGATGAATGGCTGCGGGCAGTGATGAAAGAGGCAGAGGAGGAGAAGAATTGGTTGAAAATGATTTAGGGTTTGATTGGATGAAATTATTTATTGTATATAGATATAAAAATAAAAATTAAAAAATGTTTTTAAATTATTAATTAAAACCTGATTTTGAAATGTTAAACTTGTGATCTTATTTTTGAAATTGAAAATCTAATTCCAGGTGTAGGTGTAATTTCTTCATATAATTTTTACTTGTTCGAATAAGCAAAACATGAGATTTCTTTCACAACTTGATTATTAAAAAATGGTCACTAGAAAAAGATGACTACTGAAGTGTACAACATTTGAATTCTCAATTTGACTACTACTCAATCTTTCCATTTTTCAAAAATAATAATAATTTAATGTCAAATTGCATATTTATTTATTTGTTTAATTCTACATGCCAATATCATAGCTAGCTGAGCTGCCAAGAAACTAGAAACCCACCAATAATCATTATAATCTTCTTACAAGTCAGCTCCACGCGCAGCCTTCTTCCCTTATAAAGCCAGCTGCCCACCGATAAACACCTCATCTCCCTCTCTCTCTCTCTCTCTCTCTCTCTCTCAATAAGGTTTCTAGCAAAATGAGTTTCCAGCGACTCCACGACACATGGTTTGAGCAGTTCAGCCACCTTGTGCACCAGCTAAACCAAGCCCCAAGACCACACCCCACGGACATGGGCGGAGATAGGAGTGAACTGGGGTGGGCTGTAGCCCACCCTTGCCCAAGCCCAGGTCCTATAAATTTTTTTTATCAAAGCCCAAGTTTTCCACTTTCCAGCCCAATAGCCCACCGTCCAAATCCAACCCAGCCCAATTCCCGCCCTAGCCCATGAAAATGACTTAAAATCCCCAATTAAACCAGAGAAGCCAGCACTCCACAAGACTCGAACTCCATAGTCTCCTCTCCAAACTCAATCCATTCGACCGTTCGCCACTTCCAGCTGCAGCCATTGGCGATTTCTTTCTGTCGCCAGGTTCCAGGGAGCTTCAGCATTTGAGGTGAATCATTTTGTTTTTGTTTCTTTTTCTACCTCCATATTTTATGTATATACAGTCACAGATATAAATATATAATCGTATTAATTTTTGGAAATGGATGTTTATTTTGGAGTTGGAAATAGAATGGTCCGAATGGCAGTTTTATTTTGGAGTCGGAAATAGACAAATAGTTCGTGTTCTTGTAGTCTTGTAGAGCTATAGTTGTAGGGTATTTCCCAGAATTTATCCTATAAATATGTTGTGCAATTATAATAAATTCTAGATTTATTTTCTGGAAAGTGTTTTTGGCATTGTTTTGTTCAATAGGTAATAAATTTATACTACAGAGAAAACGTGGCATTCTGGAAAGTGTTTTTGGCATTTGTTTGGCATTGTTTTGTGCTTTAGGATTTAGGCATTTTTTTAGGAAATATTAGTTTAGAAATTTAGTCAATAGCAATTTATTTAGAAATTTGTTTAGAAATTTTTTGATATGCTAAAGAAATATCAAAAGCAGTGGTAAGTTTTAGCTCATGCCTAAATTTTTGCATTTAGAAAGTGTTGAAGAATATTATATTGTGATGTCTATTACAAAGCTGTGTTCCAACTGAAGGAATCGTGTGAAATAAGTATTGGAGACATTGTGCAATTTGATAAACCATTAGCTTCTTAGTAAAATGAAATGCATCTCCAAGAGTTAAGCATGTTATTTCATCCCGTAAAATTATATGACAATGCTTGTAGAAAACCTATGATCTGCATAGAATCATCTCTTAGACTCAAAAATTTTATTCGTACATTACACTTTAAAAATTTTAGCCCCCCGTACAATCAATTCCTGGCTCTGCCCCTGACCACGGAGGAGCACTACCATCACCTCCGCCAGCTGGTGAGCAAAGTCGTGTCCCACTGCGCCGAATACTACTGAGTCAAATCTCTCGTCGTCAAGCAGGACGTGCTATCCTTCTCCTTTGTGCTGTGGACCACCACCCTCGAGCGCTCTCTCTGTTGGAATTAATTGATAAAGTGTTAAATAATTAAATGTGATATTTAATTATGTGGGCCATTGTAATTAATTTGGGTGAATTGAAAAAGTCTCCAATATAAGCCCATAAGTTGATAAGCCCAATTTTAAGTGTCTTATATATGGTAAGGAATCCCACATCGAAAGTTTACAAGAAAAAAGGCTTGTTTATATAGTGGGATATGTGTACAAGTTATAATTTAATAAGTGGTCTACAACTTAGCTAACTTTGGCTAGCCAAAGGTTAGCTAACTTTGGCTAGCCCCTTCCCCGGTCGGTCTCAATCCCGGCCTCGGCTCGCACACGTCGCAAAGTTCGCTTTGGGCACTTTAGAGGTGCACTTTGCATTTCGTACGTACGCATCGTCGCAAGAAGCTGTGGAACCTTAAAATTTTCAGAAATTGACTCATGGTTCGATGACATGGCAGCGAGAGGCTCGATGAGTTGGCATCCTAGATGGTACACACGTAACATGTTGCATCACTTAGTCCTACGTGGCGTTGGTTCAGTTGGACGTACGCGTGGTATCTGCATGACCGGTGACTGTTCAGAAATTGGTGAATAGGCATGATGAATGGACACTACACTTCATGGTTTAATATGGACCGTCAGATCATGAAACAGTGCGATCCAATGGCTAGAACGTATCAGACCAAATGGTGCACTAGTTCATGAAATGTCACACACACATTCAATGAGACACTTCAATCTCTATAAATAGAGACATTCAGATTCGTTTTTTGTACACCAAATCAAATAATATATTCTTGATTTCTAAATTCGTTCTCTCTCCATATTTTGCAAAAATTCCTTTAATATTTTCGTTGTTATTACGTTCGAGTTCGTTCATTCTTTGGTTCGACCGACAAGGTTGGTATTGTGCAATATCGATTTTGAAAGAAGCGTTGTATCTTGGGAGACATACATCCATAATCCCGTTTGCACGTTTTTGGGAGACGAAATCTGTCTTAAGGAGATTTGTCTTGACATACCTCGCTTCATCTTCTACTTTTATTTTCTATTATTTTTCTTGGTTCTTTTGATTGTGGTAGTCGAATTTTCGACAACACTCTCCACTGGATCGGCGAGTGGCGCCCCACCACCGCCTTCCACCTTTTGTACACCGTGTCGAGCATCCTTTTTTAGTCCCGTGTGGTGGATATTCTCCGGAGGTATCGCACCGGCGACCTCAGAGACCTCTCTCCTGGCCAGTTCCGCCGTGTCAGTGAGCTTCAGTGTGAGACTGCACGAAGAGAATGCAATCACTGATGAGCTCATGAGCTCTCCGTGTGGCAGGCATGCATGTACTTAATTCTAAATTAAGTAATTAAGTAATTGTGATGCCAAGATTATTTTTTTACTATTATTACGATGAGGAATCCATAGTTGTTTGGTTTCTGAATATTGGTCTTCCCGAATTTTTTTATACTTTCTTCTTAGTTGGTTTTAATTAATAAAATTAATTTTGTTTCTATAAAGAGAGACTGATTCTATGAACTGCATAAAATTCAGTTTTTTTTATTTATTTTAAATGTCTTAAGTAATTTTCTTGTCTAATTATGCATATCAATTTTTCTTTTTTTATTTTTGGTGACTAGGATAGTGCGGGTGATATTGTGGGATTGTGTGCAAATTTTGATGAGAAAATGGAAAGACTAGCAAGAATATTGAACACGGCGGACGGCCTCCGGCTGAAAACTATCAAGACGGTTGTGGAGCTGTTGACGCCTCAACAGGCGGCGGAGTTCCTGGTGGCGGCTGCCGAGTTGTACTTTGGGATTCATGCATGGGGCGTTGAACAAGATCGTCAGAGGCAATGTATGAATTTTACAATTCTTTTCTAATTAGAGAGTATGTAATTATATATTTTTTGTACGTTCAGATTATAGACGCATTAAAAAAAAAAATTGGTAATTTATTGGCCAATCAGTCTGCAGTCTCCCTCTGTCTCTCTGCTTGGGCATGAAAATAGAAAAGTTGATGACGTATTCTATGGAGAATTGATGCCTGCATGCATGGGGACACCTGTTAGTCTACGTGTAGATTTCTCTATTATTAGTCCCTATTTGATTAGAAATTAAAAATCGATTTTAATCTATGCACCCTATAAATTTTAATTCATTTTTCTCTCTTTTTATCAGGCACTCTCAATAAAATAATATTATACATAAATCTAAAAATTTCCCTTACCTCGATGGTACTTCTCCAAAAAAATTGATAATTCACTTTCCCCCAAATCTGTGCTCTCAGGTGTTGATACACGTAAATTTTGATGTTTCGATAGAAGAAGATCCAATGTGTGGCTCAAACTTACATAGGTGTCAACCTTACACATCGATATATGCAAATTCATCAGAAGAACTTAGAACACGACATAATACCCCAAATCCAAATTTTGAATTTTTGCACTTTCAATATTTTCCCCTCTCAATAGACAATTCATCCCACTGGTACCAGCAATGGCATTCACCAAACCGTGGGGGGAAGAAGAGAATGATGAAACAGCAAAAGATTAACAAGCAATGTTTCACACGGAAAGCCAAATCCATAGTCCCAGTGTTCTAACAGTGAGCATAACACCGAGTAAATGAAAAGGACAAAAGGGTTCATGCACATCCACCAATTTCAGCACTCGAAACGACAATGAAAGTGCACATAGTCGACTTCCCTCTGCATTGCTTGTTTTACTTCTTTCCTCGCAGTTTCGCCCCGAGAACCCTCTCGAGTTTAGAAATTATCTGCTGATTTGGAATGGCCTTTCCAGATTCATATTCCTGGATGATTTGGGGTTTCTCATTTATCATCTGTCGAGCAAAGAACGACAAGGTTAGGAGGAAGTAAATTAAATGAACAAACAGTTGCAGCTTCATCTGCCTAAACGTGTGCTTGGATGCAGAAATAGAGAAAGGACTCACCTGAGCAAGTTGAGCTTGTGTCAGTTTCTTGTCCAATCGAGCTTGCATGATGGCTCTTTTCAATTCACTAGGAACCTTCTCATCTGAGACAAAGTGACAAAAAGAGAACAAGTGCCAAAGGGAGGTCACCGAATGAAATTTCATACTTGGCAGTTACATAAGAATAAACTTTTATTATCATATATTCTTGTGCACTGCAATGCTTGAAATTATAGAATGAAAAGAACAAAATGTAATGCATCAGGCATACAAAAATTCATATTGTACGGAAACACAGCAAGTTAATGGACTCTGAAATCTGTTTATCTTCGAAAATGAAAGCCAAAAAATTTAAGTGAAGGAAAGCAAACGAAAATGTATTAAAAAGCAAACAGTTTCTGGCATACAATCAACAGTATTGAAGCAAAAAGGCACTTCACTACATTTAGAAGCATGATGAGTCCTGCATGATTATCTCCACAATAGGAACAGTTAAATACTGTGATTCTGTGAAAAGAAGCAAGTGAAATCAACTTACGAGCTAGATTCTCTGTGTCCTCATCAAGCTTCCTGGTGTTCAAAGACGTACTGCTTGAAGCAGCCCTGTTTGTGCCAGCATTTGCTGCAGTGGAGAATAAAGTTATTGTTACTAAACAAATCAAGAGCTAGTAAAAAGTAATAAAAGCTTCACACTTTAAAAGGCTACAAGAAGTTACATTTCTCACTTATGGTCCATAAACAGATACCCTAAACTACTAAAGGCATTAGAAACAATCATTGAATCGGCACTCTAACAAAAAGGAAGAGATACCTTGGCCATTCACAGTGGCTACGAAACACATGCAAAAGGCACAACGGATAATCAGAACCAATCCGCTTCAAAAAGAATTTTATATGATCACATTGTCGATGTCAAAATCTGTGTTTATGACACGTACACAGAACATGTAAACGGAAAACTATATTAAAGATTGAACTTAGGTTACAAGATTTCTCTGTTTGAAGTTGCTGAGTGCTCAAGTATGGGCAATAATTTTAGCAGATTTTTTTCTACGTGCATGTGTAGATTTCTTTGTTCTGCCGATGAAGAGGCATTTATAGAAGCGGATGAGGAAGGTGGTGAGCTCTCCTCCTTGCTTCCTCTAAATGCTTGAGTGGTGTCCAAGGCATACTCTCTGCTACAAAACCACTCCGTATCATTGTAGCCAGCATGAGTCAAATCCCAGGCTTTCCGGAGATCATGCCAACTGGATGTCTGTGTCAATCCCTCCATCATACCTCCTGCAGACGTACAGATGATCACTCGGACTCGGCTGCACTGATGACCTTGTGAAGCTTTTGGTCTGCCAAGGATGAAGTAAATAGTTGGGGATCAATATTAATGAGGATGTTACTTGGTGTTATGCTGTCCTTATACTCAGCAGATTAACTTAATGTGCTGCAATTGCTCTCTTTTCTGAGTAGTGCCAGTAACCTTGTTTTGATCAGCCGACCTTTAACACCCACCGAGTAATCCGACATCCGTAATGGGCACCTGTTCTCAAGGGATCGATTCTTTCACTAGTCTTCTGCACCTCTTTGCAAGAGAATGATTTTAGCATTTGTTTCCCTAACCATGATCCAAGGCATTTATCATGATATGCCATGTAGATTCCTTGGAGATTAGGACGCTACACATATGAACGTCTAAAACTTTAAAAATATGCATAGAAAATGAACTATCCCAGTATCACATTGATCTTTACCCAGTTAAAACCAGATAATATATATCTAGCTGAAGTAAAACAAAAGAAGTGCCCATCAACATTATCTCTAACAGATTGCACACAATGAGGTTTGATCAGATAAAAAATATTTCCATCAAGATCAAGTTTGCACTGATACACTAGTAACATGACAGCAGTTCAAACTATAATTCCAAAGCTAACTCTAATGCTATGTACTGTGGCATAAAATTAGGGCTTAAGATGGAATATGAAAGATTGCATTCATATACCGTTCCCTTTTTTTTTTTCTAAAGAAATAGCAATTGCCAGGCCAAATTTAATGTGGTTAAAACTTAAAACTAGATTACCATACCGTTTTCACTCAAATCGTAAAGAAATGAAATCTGCCGTGACTAGAACTTAAACCCGCGATAATCTCAGCAATTTAACTCCCATATAGAGTTCGAATCAAATGTCTAACGGAGGATACAGTAAATACCATATTATGATAAAACAAATATTAACGCCAGCCATAAATCCGTGCATAAACTTATTCGCGAATAATTGAAAAAGGAACGCATAAACAGAACCCTAAATGACAGAGAATAACTGAAGCAGAGCTGAAAAAAGAAAAATCAATTGCATACACTTTCAGGGATAAAAAGAGATAATTAGGATTTAGGGGGAAAAGGATAAAATAAATAAATCGAACAAGGAGACAGAAAGTGCAAACGACTACTTTTTTGGCAACGGAGCTGTTATACAACATATTAAACCCTAAAATGTATAATTGCGAGGATGCACAACAAATAAATAGCAGATACATACACTTCTTAAGGGTTTCGATCTCGGCGCCGGAACGGCGAGCGGCGTTGACGGCTTTCTCATCCTTACGAGCAGCAGCAGTGGGAGCCTTCTTCCGGATGACAACTGGTTCCCAATCCTGTGCGATTCCTGCCATTTTTATTGCTGTTCTTCTCTACTTTGCCTCTCTTCCTTTCGATAAAAAATCTCTCTGTGCGCGTGCTAGATACCTAACATGGGCGCCCGGTTCTTGGGCCTGTCATTGAGTTGGGCCAAGAAGATGTTTCCTTGATAATTGTAGGGAATATAAAGGAGGAAATTACACTTACACCTACTTTTAGATTTCCAATTTCACAAATAAGGTTTCAAATTTTAACATTTCAAAAATCAGGTTTTAATTCATATTTTTAAAAACATTTTTTATTTTTAATTTTATATCTATATAGAATAAAATCATTTTAATCAAACCCTAAAATCATTTCAACCCATCCTCTCCACACTCATCACCCATCCTCTCCACTCTCATCTCCCGCCGCCTC